ACTACTCTAGGTACATATAAACGTGATTTTGCGGTGATTGAAGTTGTTTTTTTTTTTACTTCAGAAGAACATAGCAAAAATTGCGAAACTTCTCAGCTCATGGAGTCATTCATCTTTGACTTTGCGGTGATCAATTGTTGCTCGTATTTGGTGTTGTGTTGATGTAACGTCTGCTTAAAACGCCGACACACCACAGGTGGTGAGGCAGGTATCTCACTGGGATTTTAGCTTCACTTTTCCTCATATGGACTTTCTTCACATATTCTTCTGATTTATGAAGTGATATGACGCTATACAAACATACACAAAATTGCCAGTCAGTAGACCATAGAGAATACAACAAGTAGCCAAAATATCTTACAGAAATGCACACACTAACATGAAATTCAACTTGGTGTATCTGCCAGTTCTAACTTATATTTCAAGTTTTTCCTACTCATTCGTCCATGATATCCTTCAGGCTCTTCACAGCTGGATATGGAACTGCATGTGTAGAAAAATGTTTTGGATTTGAATAAAAAGAGATTTATGGGAAATGTGTGAAAAGTAAAAAGTTTCATGCAGCCTGTGGACTGTTTATGATGTCAACCTGAAAGCAAAGGCATTTATTTATTCATTGAAAGGGACCAAAGAAAAGGTTTTAAGTTCACATAGGGAATGCCACAGCTATCACAAAAGTATATTAAGCTAGAATCATTTCTACTTGCTTTATCATTACAGCAGAGGCATATATAATATATAAAATAGCAGTTACCTTGTTCCTATTTCCTGTTCACATATTGCATATTTACTTTTTATCCTGTATGTATACCAACGTTATTAGATTTAAGTAGAGATAGTAGGTTCGATACGTATATCGTACACGTAGAAGTTCATGTTAGCAAATAGTCTTATATCACCACATTTTTCTTGTCAATGTCCGTATGCAATTAGCCCTCGGGCATGAATTTGCAATAAACAACTTTTTAAAAATATAATTCCATGTGGTGTATTGAAAAGTGAACATCACTTAACTTTTCTCAGTTTATATTTTCAATCAATCATGGACAATTTTAAATTTTTTTACCTCCTGGTTATCGCTCTTGTAGCTAAAATTAGTTGATCTAAAATAAAATCTATGACAGAAGTGCAATAGTTATGGAATGCATTACCAAGTGAATTTAAGACTGTATACAATGTGAGGCAGTTCAATAAAATAATTGATCGATTTTATGCAACTTAATGGCTTTAATACTGATGATGATGGTTTATATTGTAGTTAGATCCTGTAGATAGAGACGTAGCACACAAATGTAACAATTGCTTATTCTTGTACCCAAGTTATTTAACTTAAGTGCATTTGGCCCGTGTAGGGCGTGAATATGCAATTGTTTATTGTTATTGTCATTGTAATGGTTAAGCAATTTTAGTAACTCGTACGTTTTATGCCTTGACTAACTGATACTAATTATCATTTTTATATTATTATTGTAGTCATAATTAGTTCTCTGATCCGATCTCTGACCTTGATTCTTAATTCTTGAAGTCTAGATCTGTACTTGTATGTAAATCTGCACTAATGTGTGTATCTGTTTCATGTATTTGTATTGTTTAACGATTTGCCCTAGAATATTAGTCCCATAAAGAAGCTAAATGGTATTTTGATGAACCTAAACTTAAAAGAAGGAGCAATCTGAGAACAAAAGAGCTGAAACAAAACGATATCGATACTCAAGTTGTTTGTGATTTTGCCAGTGTCAGTTTGAAAATCTTTTATCACTCCAGTGTTTTGTTCTCTTTTTTTCTTGCTACTTGTGCAAACCACTGTTGAATAGAATAGGATTCTGTGTGTAGAAACTACCATATATGAACCACGCCCCTATTTAATGACCCTATATTTATAAAAAGTTTTACTCTGAAAAAGTTTTACCAAAGTTTTTGGTGCAAGCCTACACACGGTTCTTGCGTCACATGCACGACCCGGCGCCTTTGTAAAGCCATGCCCCATTATGTATTCAGGTGTATTTCCCCCATTCCTGGTATTTTATTACACCTTTTATGTCCTCTGTAAGACTGTGTGTACTTATGCTCTGGTGACGATGCCTATCTATATATCCTTTCGGCTACAATATACGGTCTGATGTCTGCTTCCGTGTTCTTTGCACGGGCGCTGTAAAAAGTCGGGCGGATTTTAATGAATGATGCGACTCTCGTTGTTACTTATACGGTTATGGCACCCCAGTCGGAAGACTACAAACGTCCGACTACGATCGTATCCAGCTCGGTCGTTCAGCTAATCCCGCCACCCTGTGCCGAAATCTGCGTTCTTGTGCGCCGGCCTGGTGCGAATCTATCAGAGACGCCGCCAGATCAGCTCTGCTCGCATCGCAAAGCGCCGCAGACAATCCAAGATAGATCGCGTCGATGGACGACCTTCCATTTTCAGTGTCCGCGTGGCGCCACGCTAACCCCGGCCATCTTTAATTGCCGATCCGCACTCCGTGTAAACTTTCTCAACAACTGCTAAGTGGAAGGGGAAACAACATTAGCGATCGCCCCGCCGTGCAAGGCATTACCACACTTACATACATCCAGCTATACGGGCGGGTTCCGCGTTCTAAATTATTCATGACTCTATCGTATCGGGCTCTCTCTTTCTCTCCTCCCGATTGTGCGATTCTGCGAGTTGTGTGTATGTAGAGAACAATTCGCCACGACCGTTGTGTGCGACTTGCAGTAGTGTGATGCCCTTAACGACCTTCACTGCATGATAAACGGAGAGGTTTACTCATAACTGCACCAGTTTATTGTCCCGGACTGATTTATTGTGCACGAAGCGCCGCCCTGTGTGCAAGCCTGCATTGTTGTTGTCATCTCGACTCAGTGTTTGTCTAATTTGAGAACACAAGGTGTAAATGGCCGCCTCACCTGCATAACGTTCTCGTTTAATACTTTTGCACCTCCGAGTTGGCGGAGGAGCGCACGCAATGTCCCGGGTCAGTATTAAATATGCACGAACTCACTTTTGTTCTACGGGCGGGATGAAATGGAGCGGCGGTACCCACATCTCCTCACAGACAATGACACGGGAGAAGTTGCATATTGTCCGTCCCAATTGTCTGTCGAGTGGTAGGGCACTTAAGGGCCTCTAAGGGTCGCTCTCATGTTAAGGAAATTGAAATAAAATCACGGAAAATAACAGGTATTGCGTCGTATACATCGCACGAGCCGTATTTTATCCACTTATATCTCTTCCGCCGCCGGTTTTTATGAGGAATGAACCCGTGGTGCGCTTCCTTACGTATAATTTTTATTTCTCGGTGGGAGGTTTTGTGGAGGAAGAAAACTGCGCCGCTAAAATCGCGTGTAATTGAACTATTTTCCCCCCGGCGAAAATGTCCGATTTTACGGAATTTGGCTGTCTGGAGGCTGGGGCTAAGCAGCACGAAATATGATGGATGAGGGTTCATATCTGACCATTTATCACCGGGAAGGCCTAGCAACCAGATGTCGGTACCCGGGCGGGGCGCTAGGAGGGGAGGCGGGCGGGGGGACCGGCGACGTGGGCCGACAGGGGTGGGTACCCAGCCCCGGTACGGGGTGGGAAGCGGTGCCCGCCGGGGACTAGTGTCGTATCCAGAAGGCTTGCCATATTCCATGTATATTATATTATTATTATCAGACCCCTTCTATAGGAACTCTTTCTTCCGACACAGATACGGTTTACTATGCAACTAGGTTATATTTTCTATTATTTGTATGTCTTTCCTGTATATATTTAGAGTTTTGTATCATTTTGAGATGTATTGTTTTCATGGGTACTTTTTACCTGAAATAAAGAATAAAGAAATAATTACTTATATTAAATAGTGTAGTGTTAAGTCTTATTACTGGTATATGGAACTCCTGTGCATTGCTGTAGACGATAGCGTATAGATATTAGTTTAATATTTAGTAATTCTTAAGAACTTGACATACATTGCACCTGTCACAATTATTGTGCAATAAAGTTTGATTGATAGGTTGATCTATTTCTATGCCTGAAAGGGTTAAGGTTAGGCTCAGGCACGGTTCTGGATAGCCTCCGCGAATCCAAAAAACGTAGATTTACCCAGGTTTGGTTCTGGATACACCTGGACTATCCAGAATGCTGCCTGAGCAAGGTTCTGGAAATTAAAGCACGATTCTGGATACAGTAGGGGCTGTACGCGTGTGGTCTCTATCCATCCCGGAGGTCGGCTGATGTTGTTGTGTACGTTCATAACTGTCAAAACAAACACGCAGGTGTGCAGAAAAACATGTCCAACAGGACATGGCCATACAGTCAACCTGTCGTGCAGCGCGTGCTGTTGGTCTGAATGAATGTCTAGAATTGGGACAATTTTATATCAGGATATGGCCATACAGTCAACCTATCATGCATCTCATGTTATTTGTCTGCGTGATACTAGAATTGGGACAATTCCATATCTTTTTGTTTTATTCATCCTGGTACTTTTGACTATTTTGAGTACTGTATGGTTTGGGAGCCACACCCCATGTCACGTCCTCCACACATACATGTACGAACTAATCAGCTGAATTGGAATGAGTGAGTGAGTGAGTGGCTCAGTGAGTGAGTGAGTGAGTGAGTGACTCCTGTGAGTGAGCGAGTGAGTGAGTGAGTGAGTGACAAATAAGATTGATGAGAAAATGAACCATGAAATACAAGAGCAACACAGTATACATTTATAACAATAGAATCAATGGAAATATAGTTACATTAAAAGAGTTTAAACAGGGATATAACATCTGGTACTGCACAGTATTACATTAGACTGTATTATGATAGAAAGAGGTATACCACATAAGAACATAAACACACAGACACACACACACACGTGCACACACATACACACGCGCGCGCGCCCACGCACACACACACACACAGACACACACACACACAAACACACACATGCAGACACTCACACGCACAGGCACCACCATTTCCCCTGTCTAAATTATTGGTGTTCTTGACACAGACGCCGCCTGGCGAAGTGCAGCTACGCGATGTTGCAGCGGAGATAACGGGAAGAGGAGAAGCGTCAGTACCAACAAATTTGGGCGATCCTCCTTCACACATGAGACTACAGCTAGCTGTTGGGCAGAGGTAAGGCGATGAAAGTGCATACCAAAAAGTCTTGTCATCTCATGACGTAACCATGAAACCACCTGTTCTTAAATCCGTCGTTTTGCTCCTATCACAAGTCAAAATTGTCGTTTTATTTCTCACTTAGCAATCCTGCTTGTCGGTCAACGATTTGTCTCTTTCATTTCTGCACGAATTAATGCTGATAAATTGAAAGATCTGAGGAACAGACTGACCCCCATGACGTGAAACGGAATTATCACACAATAAATGTCTACCAGAAACATCACTCTTGTCTCCTCACTGTGTATACTACCGTTTTCTCTACAGGGTAGGACAAGTATCTACCTACTCATTATAACCATTGCCTAACACTTGATAGTATACACATTACAAGCTTCACATGAAAAACAAAACCTTTAAGACTGCTAAAACCATGAAGTTGTCATTAAAAACGCTACAAAAGTACATTTCTACAACCATGACAACCTGGAGTTTGATACATTCGCCGTTAACTGTAGCTGAGAGGTTTAACTCAAAGTCCATGTGTACAGTACAGACGTGTAACAGTCGACAGTGATGTTGTAATGTTTGAATTGTACAAACTTCTAGCAGACAAAGATCACCACTTAGCACATCTTCTGCACACCGCGTTACATACACAAGGCCTTGCCCTTGGCACAGAACTCTGGAGCGTGCAGAGAGAGAAATAATCACGAAAACTTGGGCCGAGAATCCTGACAAATGATAGATACATCGTAATTTCCCGTTCTGCTATTTGATACGCATGGCAATTTGTTTTGGAGCAGGCAGAGCTCCCTTGTTGCTCCGGGATAGTGGGGGAGACCAGCATGATTGATATATGAGAGAACTTTTTACTTTGAGATCTCAATTTTCTCCAACTGCCATCGACAGGGTGCGGACAATTCTACTGCACGGTGCGTTCTGTCTGACTGCTTGTCTTGATTGCAGCGGGTTCAGCGACCCTCAGAACAAAGTGTACGTCCTTCCAACAATTCATATAAACCTTCCCGTGGTCTGGAAACGTTTGAAAACCAAGTTATAAAGTTATAAAATCAGCGTGTTGTATGAAATCCCGGCAGCCGTGCAGTACGTGTGTCCTGGTCCGCTGGGGGATTGGGGGGAAGCTGTCTGCTGGCGTACGATATAATTAATGTGTTTTTGCTATTTGGTTATTAATGTCATTTATATATGGCAAGGTCGAGCGAAGAAGTCAATTTCAATTTCATTGCCGCGTGCAAACGGGAACCCTATGTAGGCTGTACCTCGGGAACGAGGTGTCCTGGAAACGAGAGCACGCACGGGCGTTTTGTTGTCGTACATAACAAAGCTATAAGTTTTCCTTATGTATAGTTGGTTATAGCTGTTTATTAACCGCCCATTGTTATTCCTTATGTGGATGTAGTCCTCTGCGTTTGTTGATATAATGAATGGCACAGTGTGCTTAACAGAAATGGAGCAAATAACTGTTCATTTGTGGCGGGTAAGGCCAGTCATAGCTCCAAGTTTGCGTCCGTGCTTGACATTTAGCAGCCCAAGGTGTTCTAATAAAACCGTTAGATCGCGCCTATAATGGGTGTTCTGGGAGTTGTTACTATACGGAAGATTTGTATAAGCTTCTTACGCCTGACGTCAAAACTACTAAATAACCGGTGTGATCATCTTTCATGTATTCATGAACTCGCCAAGATCAACTACACTGCGTCCACACGCTGGACGGGACAGTTTGTTCTCTAGATAGAATTTCTTGTCAAACACTCAGGTGAGGCGAATGACAGATCACAAGACTCACCTGCCTAGCCTACCTGTGCGTACACCTGATCTACGTAACGGCCTCGTTACGGAAGCGTTTTGATACGTTTGTGTGTTTTTGTACCGACAAAATGAAACCCTCAAATGTCCACTTCAACCGTATACGACTTACACGTGGGCGTACGCAACTGATACGTTCTAACCGTGGGCTAATTCGTCTGTTCGCACCGACAGCGGCAACAGCAACTTGTCCATGACACCGCGAGGTGCGAAACTTTAGATTTGTTTGCGACCCTCACAGTGAGCGCGCACGTAACATGGTGGTCAAGTACACGCTAGTGTGAACCCCCGGCTTGGCGTTGTCACGGATTCTATTATGGGAGAAAGACGTTAATGAAGTCTACCTCGACAAGGTACTAAATCACCGCAAATTCCTTTGTCTGGAGAAGTTGCCAGCTCGTCGAGGTGCGGGCACGAAAAGTTGCGGGTTTGTCTGAGTACTGTTACAAAATGACAAAAACAGACAGAGAGAGAGAGGGGGGGAGGATGTTCTAACCAAAGCGGTAGCTGCTACCTGAGGGAGACTGTCTTCTTGTATTATCACAAGGGAAAGGTGCGATTCTGCAGGCCAAGACGTCGAGGCACAGTCAACTTCACCCCCGAAGTTTGAACATGTTTTGGTTTTCCCTCACTTGATCCGGCTGGCGGGCGCAGCGCTCGGGTCAGCTGGGGGACAGGGGGGTTAGGTTTCACGGCAGAACCAAATGTTTGTCGTCAGCGGTTCTCTTTTTCTTCAAAGCATATCGAAGGCAGAAGGCTTTGAACAGTTTTTCATTACACAAGAATCCACACACATTATGGCCGGTTAAAATGTCGCGTCGCACGGCCTGGCGCGCGCGCAGGCAACTTGTCACCGAGCTTGAGAAAAGTGTTCCCGCTAGTTGCGCGCACGACGTCGGCATCCCGTCCCGCGGATCTGTCCTCACCTGGGCCGGACAGGTGCCGCGATGTCCCCGTTTCGGGGACACTGCGGGGTCAGCCGAGCTTACGGGATGGGAACGCGTCCGTCCGCAGTGCCGCTCACGGCCGAAAGGTTAACACCACCGATCGGGCTACACACTACAAATGTGCTTACTACACAAATACAGGACAAATTCACTGAAAACACAGAAGTACAAAATCACTCTAAAATGCACCCTACGGTTATAGAAAATTGTGTATTTCTATCGCAAGCAGAAACGGCTTTTATTTCTTTTTTAGAAAATCATTATCGAGTCAAGTTCGCGGCGCCGTTTCTCCGCCGTGTGTACATGTGTTATGCTCCCGCCTCGGGAAAATAAACGCCGTCGCCTTTCCCCGCCCCAAAATTACGACGCGCAACAATACATTCTGACACCAAATATAGAAAAACACAAAACGCTATAAACGACCATAAATTCCCGCCTCGCCCGCCCATCCATCTCCGAGAAAAAAAAACAGCCGCCGGCGAGTGATGAGGAACGGAGTGAATTATTCTCCCCAGTAAAAATTTCCCGAGAAGACTAATTTTAGTTGGACTCACCTCCAATTTGTTGGCCCAGGTATCTGTGACGAGCAGATTTCCAGGCGTATTGTTTCCCCGCTTACTCCAAGTAGCTGTGGTCCCGGTAGAAACTTGTCATGAGCCGCGCCGGAGATAGACGGCAGAGATCGTGCATACATGTATGCAAGCTCCCAATCTAATCTATATTTCTGATGAGAGGCGCGGGCAGATTCGATTTATTAGAGCGGGTAGGGAGGCAGCTCCGCGGAGATGATGCCAGGAGGGACGACTCTAAGCAGGCAGCCGAGCGGCCCAAGTCGGAGGCATTACCATTCTGACGGGGGAGCCTTTTAGTGGGGGGTTGGAACGGTTGTGTGCGTGCTTTAAACTGGTCTAACCACAACTTGCGTCACGCGACAGACCTAGCTGTCCCAGAACCTGGCCCGTGAGCCGAGTTGGGGAGTGTCAGATCACAGCCAACAACGTGTACCTCACATCCACAGCACGCCAGAACATGGGGAGGAACACTTATAACATAGATTACATAGCATTAAAGGATGGGAAAATACGGGGCTGTGCGCCTCTGCCGTCACACACACACACACACACATACACTTGTCTTCTTCATTGAGAATTCCCCTGTTCTTTTGTATTCCTTTCTTTCTTTTTTTTTCAGATTTCAGCCAACGTGTACCTCACATGCACAGCGCACCAGATAATACAGAACATGGGGAGGAACACTTATAGATAACGGCATTAAAGGGTGGGAAATACAGGGCTGTGCGCCTCTGCCGTCACACACGCACACCCACTTGTCTTCTTCACAGAATTCCCCTGTTCTTTTTTATTCCTTTCTTTCTTTACATGTCAGGTTCCAGCCTCGCCCTGTCACTCCTCCTTCCCGCCAATCTGGCTGATGGATCATGTTAATATCAATCCGATGTTCTATTATCTGTCTGCGGAGTCGGGACCTGTCGCGGCAAAAATTCATTATCCGCTCCTTGCCTCCCTTCCTCGGTACCAATTCTTTTTATTTCAAGAAGCCAGGTGATGAACGACCCTGTGCAAGGTAATCCAATAAGTTCACCCGACACCGCCACTGCTAAAAACTTCTCACTGGATGGAAGTCTCCTTAACTTCTGCCTTTATTCCGTTTTCCGCCTTTTTAATTACGGTGCCGGTCGTCACGTGAGGGTTTCGACGGTGGCGACTGTCGAGCGCGATCCTTCCGTAATCCGGCCTTAAACCGTGACTTATGGCGGAGACGACGGGAGCCACTTCATCACGGAATTTTCGCGCAAATCCGAAAATTGCTGAGAGTCATCACGGTAATCACCCGGGTATGGGCGGCGGCATATTCATGGACTGACTGGTGGATGGAGTGTGTTGGGGGGATCATTATTACACGGACTATAGCCTCCATAGCATGCCAACAACTGGTGGTTTGGGGGGTCTTCAGGGTCCTTGCGAGCTTTTATGTGCTATTTTCTGATTGCATATAGACAACATAGCCGGCCTGGTTGAATTACCCCGTTTTTAGAACTGGGCTAATCAGAGAACAGCCGAAGACCACCAAATCCCTAGTTCTATAAGCCTGCTATGGAGGCTACACGGACTGAGACTTGGGACTTGGATGATATAGACTCCTCGGGATGCTGGAGAGAAAAAAAAAATTGGGTCGAAAATATGTACCTCCTTTGCCGGATATCTCCTTTGGCCAATTCTTCAGCCAAATCTTAACAAAAAATTCTCCACCACCAACCCAAGGAGTCTTGCACTTTTAAGTTTTAAAGTTGCAGGCACCAAGAGTCGTATTAAACTAAAGGATGGAGTAAAGACAAGGCAGGTACTGAGAAGAAAGTCGACACAAATCGAAGGAGCAAGAAAGAGAATGAGTGAAAAATGAAATGAAATAAAAGAAAGGCAAGAAATGTAATCAGACATGTAATTGACAGGCCGTGACCCGACAGGTGACTATATTGGTCTCCTCTCTCTCCCCTCCTGTCCCCGCCATTCCCCGGTTTAATATGAGGAGAAAACAAACAGCCCCCGTGCCTGTGCAGTGGGGTGTGGAGTGGGCATCAGTGTGTGACGGAGAAGACTTGGACGAGACCTGTCGATGGCGCGAGTCCCCGTGATTAATCATGTCGCCACCCCGGAACACACAGCCAAGAGAGGGCGATGTTTTTGTTGGCAGCCCGGCGGAGTGGGGCGGGAGAGACGGGCTCGGGGAAGAGTGGGCCTGAGAGGGCGGGCTTGGAGTGGGGCCAACCCTACCGCCACCCGCGGGACGCCTCGGCCGAGGTCTCGCACTTCTCGACTTACCAACTTTATCGGTTGTGAAAAGTTCACGGATTTCAACAGTAGCAAATTTAGCGTACACAGAGAGACTCTCAAAGAGCGTGTGCTCTTAAATCTGCAACAGAAAGTATTTTCTGAACCAACAAGACTTCCTTTGAACTGTGACAGCGGTCTATGAGAACGTGTAAGGACGAGCGATCGGGTTCTTGATAAACTTCACTTGCAGTTTCCCCCGAGTCTGTTACTCTTACAAGTGACCCGGGAACTCTCGACGCCGGTTGCCACTTGAACTTTAAAGCGGGAGGTTACTGCGGCGACCGACCGGCCCAGGCATCAACACGTGCATCTCTTATCAGTCAAGTGTTCCTGTTGTTTCCCTGAAACTAGTGGCGCTACCGGAACTAGTCTCCACCAGACTCCTTTGCAGGCAGAATGAATAGTAGAAACCGGCCTAAAAAGGGGATTTGATTGGCCAGAGGAGTTGGCCGGCCAAAGAGGGTCCAGTTGGCTGCAGGCAAACTGGACCCGCAATGGCCGGCCAACTCCCCAGGCCAGCTACACAAGTTTTTAGGCCGATTTCTATTACTTATTTAGTCTGCAAAGTAGTCTGGTGGAGACTACTAGTACATGTATACAGGAACCGCCAGAAGCGGACACAACCGGAGACTCCCCATGGCAACCGTTGCTAAGGCCACGCCGCATCTGAAGAAGTTGTTTGGCCTCGACGACGTCGCTCCACACTCACTTGTCACTTGTCAATAGTTTCTGTCTTTATCACGAGTTCCTGCATGCCTGAATTTCTGAGTCTATTTGCATTTTTTTCTGGTATATGATACATTTTTCCGCACAAATGTGTGTGTGGGGGGGGGATTTGATAGCCAATCCCTCCTAAAATGTACGTAACCAAAATGGCCTAGGCCTCTGGTCTACGGCGCTGCTATTGTTTAAGGCCGTGGTCAAAGCTGCCAAGTCGTTAAATTCGGTGACCCTGGGCTCTGTTAGTCCTGACACACAGAATGTCTCCTAGCCGTCAGCCCCCAAACCCCCTGCAGTTCCAAAATCAGCTGGTAGGGGCCTAAACCTATGCAACTCATTTCTGACTTCGATCTGTCAAATCAAGTCCACATCGTGTCCAAGACTAGCCTCCTTTTCAGGCGTTCCGAGATCGGTCGGGGGGGGGAGGGGTATATGCTGATCAAACGTAGATCGCACGCAATAGAAGCTCCGGCCAGCAACCCTACATAGCTCTCCCTGGTCACACACACCCCCACGACGTCGGACGCCTGATAAGGAGGCTAGTCCAAGACGAAGACACAAGAACTGGAACTGCAGCACCACAGACAGTCACTAGGATTCTCATTATCGACCTTGACCTTGGTCTTCCCAAAAAGACCTTCCTACAAGCCAAATATCATCACATCCCATCCACAGCTACAAAGTATTAGGAAATACAAACCAATAAATACAAACAAACAACCAAACAAAGAAACAGACAGACAAACCCAAAGCAATTATTGTACGAGTACCTTAATTTTTCACGGGGGTAAGTCTTCAACCGTGAACTATTGAGATGTCCGTGAAAAACTTGCCCCCAATCATCGCACGCCGACGTTCTCTTCCTCAAACACAAGTTCTTGGCAAGGCAAGTATGACCGACCATCCACACGTAATCCCGCCCTCCCCACCTCCCCACTCCTGCGTGACAGGTAGACGTATGACCATGTTTAAAAACGGGTGTTTGGCCCCCGTAAGGTCACGGCAGCCTGCCCCCGGCCCCCTCCCACCCATTGTTCCTCCAGCCATCAGGGCAGGGAGATGGAGATGGATGGCCGACTCCCGCGCCCGACAAAAAGGAAATAATGCGTCACGGGCGACAGATGGCACCCGCCTCGCGTGTGGGAGGGACACTTATAGGTCAGGGGTCAAGGTCACACCTTACACCTGTAGTTGTGTGACGCTGTGGACGGTAAAGTGAGGAGTTGGCGGTGTTAAGGCGCTGGTAGGAGGGGATAAACTCTCTGTTCTCTCACCAAATACAAGTGCAACTGTCTCCAACAACTTAAAGTATGTATGATGGCACGGTGTGCGCGAGAGCGAGCTACCTGTTATACTAGTAGTATCGTCGCAACCAAAAAAGCCATCCATCAATCACCGCATCGCTCCGCACTTAGTTCCCGGCTGTTACAGGTCTATCCCATCCATCAATCAAAGGTGTACCTCCGCACCTGCGATGACAAGTAGTGCGGCCCGCGCGCCTGTCAGCGTGATCCATGCGTCCGTACCAGCGCCGAGCGGGGCTGAAGTTAATGCGTTTGGGTCGCGCCGTGGCCGCGCGGGTCTTCGCGTGGGTCAGCCGGCAGGTAGCCACAGGTGTGGGTGCGGGCCGCAGGTGATCGGGACTCCTCCCTTGGAAATCTTTCGCGCCTCGCGGGGAGAATCTTAACAGATGGATAGGTGCGAGGAGGAGGCAAGGTCATGAAATATTCAGGCGAACTCAATTTGGAAAAGTTTACGGTGCGATAAAATTGGGTTCTGAACCTGCCAAATATTCGCATTTACGATAGAAACATCCGGGGAATAATACAGGGACGCGTGGCTGTGCTGTGGGACTTGGTGTTACAGGACGACGTGTGTCAGGAAACCTCAAGAACAAGAAACCTCAAACATTCTGAATTTGTTCCATCATGGAGCACCATGGAGCTATAATACACAGCTCCATTGGACCACTGAGTAGCTTCGGGAGGCGATTGTACTTTTCTAGCGGACCAACTCCCTTGGCATGTCATCTCTCTATTTGGTCAATTTCTACTCTTTCCAGCCGCCTCCCGAAGCCTGGTAGAGGCTACTGTACAAGATGATGCCGTGGCCACAAGGCAGTGTTCTGCCACGAAGCCTGAATGTAGTCTGGATGCCAGTAAGTTATCCTCGCACACTGGAGAACTTTGGGACTACTGCGCTATGGGTCTGGCATCTAGGCTACGAAGCCTGGTCAATTCTCGTGTTTTATCGTCCCCAACACTCCTCCTCTTCACTTTACAGAATTGAAAGTTATTTGTCATCATACTAGTGTAAGTGTTGTTCAAGTCGGTTAAACAGGCTTGTTTGCGTTGTTCCGCCCACAATTTTTTTGTGTCGTTAAGCTGTAGTGTGGCGCGGTAAGGTGGTAACTAAACTTTCGGTATAATCTGTCGGCGTCAGGTGTGCGCAGATAAAGGTGTGCTTATCTTGTCGTCCCTTCTGCAGGGCCCGGCGTTCCCGGCCTGGTCAGCCCGCTGACAGACGGTGATGGATGGCGCGGGGCACCGCCGGTCCAGCCTTCGGTTTCGATCACACTTATCACCGGCGGGCACGACAGCGCGCGACGGTGGGGGACGACACCCGGGTGATTTATCGGGCCCGTCCTCGGACGTGCGGTGGCTGGAGACAAAAACGTGATGAATGGGACATTTCGGCGGAGGGGACCGGGGCAGGATTCATCAAAGCGCCGCGCCTCTCCCGGGAGAGCTCACCCCGCTCCTCCGACCCTTTCAGCCGATGACCAATCACCCACCTCGTCTTCCACAACGTCCCGGCCGGCTACTAGTTAAAAAGATAAGCCCTTATTAATACCCGCGTCCCTCCCGCTATCTGCGCCGATCTACAGGGATAAACCGCGTGCGAATGGGCAATTATTGTTATCAATTTCATATCGCTCAGACAGAGCAACTTAGCCTATCTGTGGAGCGTTAGGTTTTATTGGTTTCATTCTCACCTGTCGGATTTGGCCCTGGGAGGACGGGAAATTACGACAGTGATGGCGGCCGAAGATCGGCAATTTAATTAAACTCCGAACGATTAAAGGGGCACTTTGGTTTATCAACCGAATCCACTTAGGGCGTTTTAATGAAAGGGAGATTTCCCTCTGCAAATCAGATCGGAAAGTTTGTCCATAAATTTCCGGGAGGGTAAACTTAACTTCCGGGAAGTTTTAGGAGAGTCATAAAAAGTAGTCGGAGAGCAAACTTTTAAAAGTGTCGAAGGGACTGGACTGGACGAAGGGAAGAGTAGAGTTCGCCTGAACTTTGTTGCAATGTTCTATTGTAAACGAGTGACAAAATCGTCCTCAAGTATCTATACTGTATGTTTTGCTTTTAATTTAAAACTCCAGGAAGAATAGCATTTGTATATATGTACAATAAATGTATCTTATATGTGTATTAAAGCCAATGAAATAATAAAGTCTCCAAGTATCCAAGATGACCTATCCTAGAACCGTTCTAGGCCAGTACTGAACTATTCTGTTCGATTAAGGCCAATAGTTGTGTTGTAACTTTCAACATGTACTGTATTATCATCATTTCCTGTCCCTCTCACTCCAGCGTACCTGGGCTTATGACCTGTAGGTCAGTGAACTTCTCTACACCAGAATCTAGCACAGGTTAGGTACAGATACAGATACATTACGTCATTGGTGACTTCTTATGACTGTCTGACCTCCATGATATTTGTCCACGAACAGCATATTTTTCTACAGAAATATGAGACCGGATGAACATACTGACACATAATAAATAAACACAACGTTTACATCTGAGATCTGACATTGTGATATTTTGTCTCTAACAAGGTAATATTTAGTCTTGAGTGTTGTTGCTGGAAAACCAACATATAGGATGCGACGGTTTTGTTAGTTATCAGAATAACCACGCCAGAAGGTTACGTTATACGTTTTGTGACGTTTGCCTCGTGCAATCAGGTACGAGTAGTACGTATACTAGTAGTAATGGTAGTAGTGTAGTGGTGTAAGAGACCTCACGAAGGAACCACCATTTTCAGTAACAGCAGTATCTATACCGGGCACCAGTTGGTAAGTTTTAAGATGTGACGTTACGTTTTGTTTTCTGGCGCGAAATATCCAAATGTAAGCCATTTGCAGCAATATTATTAATGACTTCACAAGATGTTCCCCAGATATTGGTAACATTCCCGCTGCCGCATGTTAGGAACTTTTCGACGCCTAAATACTAGTGACGTCATTCAAACCTCATTTCTCAACATTCTTGCGGCTTGAGTCTGGGTACCGTCCTCTTTGGGTTGACTCTGTGTGCCAGGAGCCTAGCCTATACCAGGCTCTTCCGGCTACTGCCAAATTGGCAAAATTGACAGAATAGCATGCCAGAAAAGTTAGCCGTGGTTGCGAATTTTACCCTTTTATATATATTATAATAGCAGACTGACTTCTCTGGTATACTTTTCAGGCTATTTAGCCAGTATCTACTATTTTTCCAGCAACCTACAGAGCCTGGTAGAGGCTATCCGTGTGTCCGGGGCGGTGATCGGAGTGGAATATAAAATATACAGGTACAGAGCTCGAGGTAGCAGGGTTCCAGGTGGATAACCTCTTTCAGGCTTCAGAGGCGGCTGGGAAGACTAGAAATTGGGAAAATAGACAGATGACATGCCTTTATATAGTAGTTGGTCCAGTAAATACAGTTTGCGGGAAGCCTCTACCAGGCTTCAGAAGCGGGCGGAAGTAGTAGGAATTTGCCAATAGGCAGATAACATGCCTGGAGAGCAAGTCCGCTAGAGGAGTACAATTTGCGCTTAGTCTCTACCAGGCTTCAGAGGCGCTGAAACTCCCCTGGTATATTTGTCTATTTGGCGAATTCCTACTCTTTCCAGCCGCCTCTGAAGCCTGATAGAGGCTACCAGGCGGGGTGACCCGGCCTGTTGTCGCTGATAAACCGTGTACGTAAAGAAGGCAGCAGTTTGTTGTCCAACACGGTCTGTCCGGTTTGCGGGCCGCAATATACAAGTCATACAATCCTGTTCCTCCTCAGCCTGCCGTGTTACATGACGTAGGAACGGCAGCGGTGACGCTGACACTTACCTCCCGTCTGCACTCTGACCTTTTCACGGTGGGGAAAAACGGAACGTCGTCCATCTTCACCCGCTTCTCTCGCTCGGATGGCCGCAGATCTGTGATGGATGCTCCCTGGTCCGAAACTTGTACCACTATTTGTTTCAGCGGCGGATCCTGTCACCGTGCGGGGGATGTCCTTCAGTGATCTCCAAGCAGATGTTTGGAGGCAAGAACACGACCTTCGTTTCATTTTCATTTAACACGGAACTTTTTAGCCCTGCTGGGCTAATCTTTCAAGGCTCAAAAACATACATTTAGAATGACATAATGTCCATTACATGGCACAGAAAAAGTACAGTAAATACATTTAAAAGACATACTTAAATCACAAAATCAACAATAAACACACAAATCAACATTTAAAAAGTAGAGATCGAGGGTCTAATTGACACTGTTTGGATGACATCGTTCTGATCATTGTCTCGTCGTTTTCCTAACATACAGGATAATGAAACACGATATTACATTACACTTCCAACGTCCACTTGGAGATTCAGACACACGTTACTGAAAGGGGGTTGAGGAAGACACGACACTTGTGCCCACGTGAATTCGGAAGACGGCTAGGACTGGGGTTCAAACGTGTTGTATGATAGCTATATGAGTCTCGTTCGTCCTCTCCGCAAATAGAGAGAGGACGAAAGAGACTCGGCAGCTATAATAGGTCTAGACATCAGGCAAGATGGGTCAATCGTCTTTTTCGTTACGTTAAAGACGGATTTGCAATATTAGATTACATATATTACGCATATACTACGCATTGTGTTGTGCACAAGAACACTGTTACTCAAGCAGCTGGGTAGATGTTGAAAACCGCCAGAAGTTTGAGGTAGCATCCACTACACTTCGTCAGTGACGGGCATTGCATTAGTGTCCTTCCAGAAGATTTTAGCTGTACATAATAATTGTTAAACGTCTCAGTTCACACAATTCAGCCTCATGATAGTGGCTGCGACGTGATGGCGCTGCGTATTTACTGTAATACTTGTGCTATTTGAGGAATAAACCAATGGTATGGTTTGGCTACGTTACACTTATAGAAATGGGGTATGAAACATGAAACATGAGTGTCGCTCTGACCTAGCCGACCGTGTAATATACCAGGTTGTCCTTCAAGGTTCGGCACCAGATTGACGGCACACTTTCCTTCCCACTCCCGAGTCCGGTCATCCTTACCGCCATCATCCATCGACCACGGGCCGGCTTATGCCGACTAACCGCCTCTGACAACATTAATTATCAACACTATTATGCCGCCTTCAAACGGCCAATTGCACCATTAATGTCCCAATCTTTCTTCCCGCGTGGCTGGAAGGTCGGGCCTCAGGACGGGAGGGTTTAGTGGGTCGGTTGATGGTCTGGTTGGCCATTGGTCGATGGAAGACACGGAAGGGTCGGTGGTTTCGGTTGAGGGCCTGGTTGGTGGGTCGGTCGAAGGGTCGGTACAGGGTGGGTGGGTCGTTGGAGGGTGGGTGGGTCGTTGGAGGGTGGGTGGGTCGGTAGAGGATGGGGGGTTGGTGGTGGGTGGGTTGTTTCGGTGGAGGATGGGTGGGTCGGTGAAAGGATGGGTGGGTCGGTGGAGGATGGGTGGGTCGGTGGAGGATGGGTGGAGAGGACACCTGTTCATGATACGACGGACCAGTCCTTCAGCGGAAACACATATCATTATAGGATAGAAGATGAACATCATTTTGTACTAGAAGGTAGTTTGTATAACAATCCATGTAGCTAAATAGAAACCATTACAGGCAATGGCGTAGTCTTGGTATTTATAGATCTAGAACTGCCATACTGCCGTACCTGTTACAACTGGTGTCAGGCAATAACGTTTCCAACTTTCACGTATCATGGAAGTTCATCTGTGTTGGTAGTAATCATAATGTAATCTTAAACTTCATTCCAAGAGTACACGGGGATAGCATGTTCAACGGCCACTGCCTTCATCAGGAATTGGTTATCAATTATCCTAGCGGCATTATGTGGACTTAGTCTTCTCCAGATAGTTTCAGATTTGTTTTTAATTGTATGTACTGTGTTTGTTGATATGAGCCATGGCAAAATGATGAAGGCGACAGTGGTCGTTGAAAATCTTTTCCCTGCGTACGCTTGGTGTTGGAATAAAGTTTGACATTGTACTACAACTATTGTGACGGTGAAGGCCGGTATGTGGGGTAAGGTATACTTAGTAGCAGTGCGTGGTCCCGTGTGGGGGTCCTGACATCACAAATATCACTGCATTAACCCTGACCGTCTCCCGGGGTCGATATCTCTATAGGAATAATTCAATCAGTGAAGAGAACGGATTCCATGGTGCGGTCTTCGTTTGGACAAAAGGATTTACTCGTCAATGTCAAGCGGACTTGTCGATGTCTGCTTTTGTGAATAAACGTCAACGACGGTTACGAAAAGTTTGTGTTACTGTTGGGAAGTTTAGGAAACCGTTAGTGATGTTTCACTGTTGTTGCAAAAACGTTATGTTTCAGTGATTTTCTGTACGATTTTTATTGAATCTCAAACTTATGAAGATTCTGAGAATCCTTTGACAAAGATATCAGTGAAAATGAAACAAATGTGTGTGTTACGATGTGTGTGTGTGTGTGTGTGTGTGTGTGTGTGCGTGTGTGTGCGTACGTGCGTGTGCGTTTGTAAGTGCGTACGTGTGTTTGTGTGTGTGCCGCGGCGCGCGCATGTGATATCCCCAGTTCATTAGCATTTCCCCCTAGAAATAGCTGTTTTAAGCTTTCTCTTATCTCCAGTGAAAGAAAAAAACAGGTAAAATCTATCTGTGGAAGCTGTCCCGTGTATCTCAGGCAGACTGATGGCAGTAGCGGTACAGTATTTGTACTCTCCAAGCAGAGGTTTGGGTTTTGGCTTATTTTTGGCGAGTTTTTATGCTTTTTTTTATCGGGGTTTTCTTTTTTGCACTGGATTTTTTTGGGTTGGGGGAAATTCTCAGTGCAAGAAAGAAAGCCCGACAAAAAAGGCCTAAAAAACACGCCAAAAATAAGCCAGTCAGCCAGAACCCAAACCTCTGCTTGGAGAGTACAGTATTTGCGCTCGTGTCTTCAGGCCTTTCAACAGGTCCGTAAGCCGCCGCCACGGCGCACAATCCATCCCGCACGCTGTTCTTTCACAAGAACGCCAGACGTCACTGACACAGGCAAGTTGTTTTAACGTCAGGTGCGTCTTTATGTGCAGGGGTTAAGACCGGCAAATCCGCCGGGTCACACATTCACGCGGCAGGTCGCCGTACACGGCTCCCAGCATCACTTAAAGCACGCGCGGGGCTCCTATCTGC